AGAAATCTAAAAGAAATCACATAATATTCCTTTGTGGTGTAATATGAATCATATATTACTCTGTGGATTAAGATTTTGATTCAGCGTATTTCCACGTCTCTGTTGTTGAGGAATACGTGGACATAGATCCATCTTTTATAAAAAGCAAAACACACAAACATACACCAGTTATGGTACGTGTCAGAGTGGGCGCTTGTGACGAGCGGGGTTCCACATGGGTCAGTCCTAGGACCGGTGCTGTTTGTGGTATATGGGACTGACATGGCGGAAGGTATAGACTCAGAAGTGTCCCTCTTTGCAGACAATATGACGGTAATGAGGAGAATTCAATCGGAGGAGGACCAGGTAGGACTACAAAGAGATCTGGACGGGCTACAGGCCTGGTCTAGCAACTGGCTCCTGGAATTCAACTCCACCAAGTGCAAAGTCATGAAGATTCGGGAAAGGCAAAGAAGACCGCAAACAGAATACAGCCTAGGGAACCAAAGACTACAAACGGAGCAAATCTCCTGAGGCGCACATCAACCAAATAACTGCTGCAGCATATGGGCGCCTGGCAAACCTCAGAACAGCATTCCGACATCTAAATAAGGAATCGTTCAGGACCCTGTACACCGTGTACGTTAGGCCCATATTGGAGTATGCGGCATCAGTTTGGAACCCACACCTAGCCAAGCATGTAAGGAAATTAGAGAAAGTGCAAAGGTTTGCAACAAGACTAGTCCCGGAGCTAAGAGGTATGTCCTACGAGGAGAGGTTAAGGGAAATCAACCTGACGACAGTGGAGGACAAGAGGGATAAGGGGGATATGACAACGATATATAAAATATTGAGAGGAATCGACAAGGTGGATAGAGAGGATGTTCCAGAGATGGGACAGAGGGGCAGCAGTTGGTAGTTGAAGACATAGATGAGTCACAGAGATCTTTGGAAATATTTCTTCAGTCACAGAGTTAACAGGAAGTGGAATAGTCTGGAAAGTGAAGTGGCGGAGGCAGGATCCATACATAGCTTTAAGAAGAGGTATGAAAAAGCTCACAGAGCAGAGAGTGAGTGACCCAGTAGCGACCAGTGAAGAGGCGGGGCCAGGAGCTATGACTCGCCCCCTGCAACCACAATTATGTAATATATATATATATATATATATATATATATATATATATATATATATATAATATATATATATATATATATATATATATATATATATATATATAATTATTAGCAAGAAAGATACTTAGGGTACACCTCAGTGCTGTTACCTAGTAGTAAATAGATCCTAGGAGCTAGTCGGCTGGAAATAAAGAATCTGGAAGTAGAGGATCCTTTTAATACGTTTCGCCCAAAGCTGGGCGAAGCGTATTTATAAAAAGAATTCTCTGCTAAAGAGTGTCTTGTTAGGTAAGACACATATCCATCAGTTAGGTATCTTTATTTCGAAACTCGTCGCATACACAGTAGGCTTCTTCAGTCGAGTACAGAAAAGTTGATAGAAGCAGACGTGAAGACGATGTAATCAGTCCATCACCCTTGAAGTTTTGAGGTGGTCAGTCCCTCAGTCTGGAGAAGAGTATTGTTCCATAGTCTGAAACAATATGGGTTAACCATCCAGGGTTAACCATCCAGGGTTAACCATCCAGGGTTAACCATACAGGGTTAACCATCCAGGGTTAACCATCCAGGGTTAACCATACAGGGTTAACCATCCAGGGTTAACCATACAGGGTTAACCATCCAGGGTTAACCACCCAGGGTTAACCATCCAGGGTTAACCATACAGGGTTAACCATCCAGGGTTAACCATACAGGTTTAACCATCCAGGGTTAACCATCCAAGATTAATCATCCAGGGTTAACCATCCAGGGTTAACCATCCAAGGTTAACCATCCAGGGTTAATCATCCAGGGTTAACCATATAGGGTTACCCATCCAGGGTTAACCATCTAGGGTTACCCATCCAGGGTTAATCATCCAGAGTTAACCATACAGGGTTAATCATCCAGGTTAACCATCAAGGGTTAACCATCTAGGGTTAGCCATCCAGGGTTAACCATCCAGGGTTAACCATCCAGGGTTAACCATCCAGGGTTAACCATCCAGGGTAAACCATCCAGGGTTAACCATCCAGGGTTAACCGTCCAGGGTTAACCATCCAGGGTTAACCATCCAGGGTGAACCATATAGGGTTAACCATCCAAGGTTAACCATACAGGGTTAGCCATCCAGGGCTAACCATACAGGGTTAACCATCCAGGATTAACCATACAGGGTTAACCATCCAGGGTTAACCATCCAAGGTTAACCATCCAGGGTTAATCATCCAGGGTTAACCATATAGGGTTACCCATCCAGGGTTAACCATCTAGGGTTACCCATCCAGGGTTAATCATCCAGAGTTAACCATACAGGGTTAACCATCCAGGGTTAACCATCCAAGGTTAACCATCCAGGGTTAATCATCCGGGGTTAACCATATAGGGTTACCCATCAAAGGTTAATCATCCAGAGTTAACCATACAGGGTGAACCATCCAGGGTTAACCATCCAAGGTTAACCATCCAGGGTTAACCATCCAGGGTTAACTATCCAGGGTAAACCATCCAGGGTTAACCATCCAGGGTTAACCATACAGGGTTAACCATCCAGGGTTAACCATACAGGGTTAACCATCCAGGGTTAACCATACAGGGTTAACCTTCCAGGGTTAACCATACAGGGTTAACCATCAAGGATTAACCATCCAAAGTTAACCATCCCGGGTTAATCATCCAGGGTTAACCATATAGGGTTACCCATCCAGGGTTAACCATCTAGGGTTACCCATCCAGGGTTAATCATCCAGAGTTAACCATACAGGGTTAACCATCCAGGGTTAACTATCCAAGGTTAACCATATAGGGCTACCCATCATGGGTTAACCATCCAGGGTTAACCCTGGATGGTTAACCCTGGATAGTTAACCCTGGATGATTAACCTTGGATAGTTAACCCTGGATGGTTAACTCTGAATGATTAACCCTGGATGGGTAACCCTAGATGGTTAACCCTGGATGGGTAACCCTATATGGTTAACCCTGGATGATTAAACCCTGAATGGTTAACTTTGGATGGTTAATCCTTGATGGCTAACCATGCAGGGTTAACCATGCAGGGTTAACCCTGGATGGTTTACCCTGGATGGTTAACCCTGGATGGTTAACCCTGGATGGTTAACCCTGGATGGTTAACCCTGGATGGCTAACCCTAGATGGTTAACCCTTGAGGGTTAACCATCTAGGGTTAGCCATCCAGGGTTAACCATCCAGGGTTAACCATCCAGGGTTAACCATCCAGGGTTAACCATCCAGGGTAAACATCCAGGGTTAACCATCCAGGGTTAACCGTCCAGGGTTAACCATCCAGGGTTAACCATCCAGGGTGAACCATATAGGGTTAACCATCCAAGGTTAACCATACAGGGTTAGCCATCCAGGGCTAACCATACAGGGTTAACCATCCAGGATTAACCATACAGGGTTAACCATCCAGGGTTAACCATCCAAGGTTAACCATCCAGGGTTAATCATCCAGGGTTAACCATATAGGGTTACCCATCCAGGGTTAACCATCTAGGGTTACCCATCCAGGGTTAATCATCCAGAGTTAACCATACAGGGTTAACCATCCAGGGTTAACCATCCAAGGTTAACCATCCAGGGTTAATCATCCGGGGTTAACCATATAGGGTTACCCATCAAAGGTTAATCATCCAGAGTTAACCATACAGGGTGAACCATCCAGGGTTAACCATCCAAGGTTAACCATCCAGGGTTAACCATCCAGGGTTAACTATCCAGGGTAAACCATCCAGGGTTAACCATCCAGGGTTAACCATACAGGGTTAACCATCCAGGGTTAACCATACAGGGTTAACCATCCAGGGTTAACCATACAGGGTTAACCTTCCAGGGTTAACCATACAGGGTTTTAAACCATCCAGCGATAACCATCCAGGTTAACCATCCAGGGTTAACCATTCCATGGTTAACCAAACCATGGTTAACCATCCAGGGTTAACCATCCAGGGTTAAACATCCAGAGTTAAGCATCCAGGGTTAACCACCCAGGGCTAACCATCCAGGGTTAACCATCCAGTTTTAACCATCCAGGGTTAACCATCCAGTGTTAACCATCCAGGGTTAACCATCCAGGGTTAACCATCCAGGGTTTAAACCATTTCCAAAATTTAAAACCCTCCGGGTTAACCATCCAGTGTTAACCATCCAGGGTTAACCATCCAGGGTTAACCATCCAGAGTTAACCATCCAGGGTTAACCATCCATTGTTAACCATCCAGGGTTAACCATCCAGGGTTAACCATCCAGGGTTAACCATCCAGGGTTAATAATCCAGGGTTAACCATCCAGAGTTAACCATCCAGGGTTAACCATCCAGGGTTAACCGTCCATGGTTAACCATCCAGGGTTAACCATCCAGGGTTAACCATCCAGGGTTAAACATCCAGATTTAACCATCCAGGGTTTTAAACCCTCCAGGGTTACCATCCAGAGTTAACCATCCAGAGTTAAAACCCTCTAGGGTTAAACCATCCAAGGTTAAAACCCTCCCAGGGTTAACCCTCCAGGGTTAAACCATCCACCGGTTAACCATCCAGGGTTTAACCATCCAGAGTTAAACATCCAGAGTTAACCATCCAGGGTTAACCATCCAGGGTTAACCACCCAGAGTTAATCATCCAGAGTTAACCATCCAGGGTTAATCATCCAGGGTTAACCATCCAGGGTTAACCATCCAGAGTTAACCATCCAGGGTTAACCATCCAGATTTAACCATCCCGGGTTAACCATCCACGGTTAACCATCCCGGGTTAACCATCCAGGGTTAACCATCCCGGGTTAACCATCTCGGGTTAACCATCCCGGGTTAACCATCCCGGGTTAACCATCCAGGGTATCTGAGACGCAGACATGTTCTCTGGTGGCTCGGTCAAACATAACAATCCTGGTTCTCACTTGTATTTTAAGACATACATTATTACGCTTTACAAAGTTGTACAACACAGAATATTTGCAGAATGATATAGGCTTCTTATTACGTAAAACCTTTATTAATGTTTCCATTATTGTTTTAAGAATTAGAGAAAATAATAAGGATTTTATTTTCATTTAGTTACTAATGACTTAGCTGGCACTATGTACGGGAGGTTAGAGTTTTATGTAGACTGAAATATATTCACACTGACCTGGGTTATTGAAATTGAAGTTTTTTTCAATGTTTTCAATGCTACGAAAAATCGTGAAGCTTTCCACAGTTTTAGGCCTGGTCACAGACCGGGCTGCAGGGGTGTTGACCCCTGGAACCCTCTCCAGGCATATTCCAGGTATACTCCAGGTATATCTCTGTAAGTGACCAGCCGCTGATGCCGGAGCAGTCAGAGAATAGTGCCAGCTACTTCTTTTAATTATTATCACACATGTTTGATACAAAACCTCAGTACTGATAAGCTAAATAATCTTATGACTTAATGATATCTTAGCTATGTTAATGATAGGTTATATCTATGTGATGAATGGCTATTGTTCATTTGTTAGATCATGTGTTGACATATGCTTTAGACATGGATCTCTTGTTGTTTGAGATTGGTCCCACATATGTTAACAATGTGTCACATGTATTCATTATAAGTAGGACACATGTGCAACAGATAAGTTACTACATGTGCAACAGTTAGGTGTCTTTATTCTGAAACGTTTCGCCCACACACTAGGCTTTTTCAGTCGAGTACAGAAGGCACTGCCTGTCCTGTCAAGAGTATCTGGGACCTCACCATTAACAGTATGTATATGTCTCCATTCCATTCCGTTACTTCGGCTTCTCAATGTTCCAGACTCTGGAGCAGAACTCTTCTCCAGGCTGAGGGACTGACCACCATCTTCGATGGTGATGCACTGTTTACATCGTCTTTACATGTCTACTGCTTCTGCTGCCTCTGTTTTCGACCGAAGAAACCTACTGTGTAAGTGAAAAGTTTCGGAATAAAGACACCTAACTGTTGCACATGTAGTAACTTATCTGTACCGTATACCACAAATATATTCACAGTATATTCACGTTTATCTAACACATCACCATGAACTTCTTACACTAACAAATCCAACTTGAGGTTGGTTGGTTCACTGGGTTTAAAGCCTTTCGGCTACACACCGGGTCTTTTCACCAGCAGTTAAACACATTTTAAACCCTACCATAGGAATCTATGTCAACTTTCAGCCTTTGTAATAAGTGACACACACAGCTCTCAGTGTACATTATCCTTCAAGGTATGTTCTGCCTGACCCAACAAAGGCTGAGATTAATACTCTTCTGTGATACGTATTCACATACTGCATATTACATAATACATTTGGTAAATAAAAAATTATTAAATAACTGCTCTAACAAACGACAGAAAAAGTGGCTTAATCCAACGTAACACCAAACCAAGTAGGGCTTGATCATCCAGGGTATTTTAAGATGGTTACCCTTCAATTTTTATTTTCTTTTACTCAAATTTCTTTCCAATTGAAGGGTAACCCTTGTAAAAATAAATGACTCATATATCCCTCCTGGCAAAATAGCAAGTAAGTAAATAAGTTTATTTAGGTACAGGTACACAAAAGTACAATTGTTATATATAGTGTAAATTACATAGGGTAACCCAGAAAAGTCAAAGTGACTTATTTCCACTGGGATCCTTGAGAGAAACTTAAGCATCTCCATATCGACACCATGCCTAACCCTTCTAGGGTAGGGTAGGTGCCTGAGCCCGAGCCTTTAGCTCATAAGACTGTCATTCCCATTAGCCCCCTTGGGGCGGGGATGGCAGACCAGAGAGGCCTAGTTTGTGGCTAGGCCTGGGGACAGTTGGTCCCAAAGATGAGGAGGTACTTGTGCCTCCTTCCATGGGAGACTTAGGTCTCAGACACTCCCTAAAGAGGGAGCCAAGGCCGGGCCACCACTTGGAAAAGGCCCGGGCCGGGAGAATACCGGCTAATATTTAATAATAATAATAAATAAAGCATCTCCATTAATTACAAGGTCTTCACCGTCGAGACTATACCTACTCAAATGTAATATAAAGTAGAACACTATTACCTTCTGCCACACAGGTAGGACGCTCTTTTCCCAGTATTTCAAGAAGACTTGTAATTACTGACAGGGCAACTACATAATGGTAGTTTAAGGTATTCTTTACTTAGAATTTCAGTAAATTAGGCCAATTTCGGTTACCTAAACCACTAATACCGTTTTTTTTTAAGAACGTCTGAACACACCTGTTTCGGATACATAGAACATACGATTGGATTTTAAGCTAAAACCAAAATATATCATGTGGTACTGTATGACTCAGTTCTCAAAACTTCCATCCCTCTTCTTTTATCCACTGTTGCAGCTTCTTGATTTCGTCTTTGGCTTCAAGTCCCAGCTGACCCTCTGGCTGCACCTCCGGCTCGTAACTCAAGATACGAGCACATTCCTTCAAGGCTGTCATCGCGTCCTGCCGAGGAAAAGAACACATGAAGGCATATAGCACAACTCAGGTGTATTTTTGTGACTTAGTTTGTGTCTATATAAAAAACTCTTTAGGACTGTAAACAGATATAAACATGTAAATACTTCATATAACTTCTTTAACTACTCAAACTTTGTGGCCCAGTCCCAGGGCCCATTATGTGTTTCTGTATAATGTATAAGTGCAGTCTTTGGCCCCATTATGTGCCTCTGTAATGTTTAATACAGTCCCTGGATCCATTATGTGCCTCTGTAATGTTTAATACAGTCCCTGGATCCATTATGTGCCTCTGTAATGTTTAATACAGTCCCTGGACCCATTATGTGCCTCTGTAATGTTTAATACAGTCCCTGGATCCATTATGTGCCTCTGTAATGTTTAATACAGTCCCTGGATCCATTATGTGCCTCTGTAATGTTTAATACAGTCCCTGGATCCATTATGTGCTTCTGTAATGTTTAATACAGTCCCAGGATCCATTATGTGCCTCTGTAAGGTTTTGACTACCACCCACAGGCTGGGTATGGGGTGTTTACAAAGTTACTGATGTTACTAAGTGTATTAATATATTTTGAAAGTGAGTCCGAACAGATAAGGTATAGCTTAAGTTATTATAAACAGTAAAATTTATAATCTGGTGGATAAGTTGGCTAATATCAATATAATCTGAAAAACTAATTAGTTTACGAACGTAATTGAATTAGTAAGCTAGGAAAATAGTTTATGCAATCAAATTTATCATACTGGGATAATGATTGTCACACTAATGGTATCGCAGTTAAGGAACTAAAGTATTGTACTCAAAGATTAAAAGTAATGGGTTGTCATATATAGGTCATCGTAGGAAAGAGCTAAATTGAGGTCAAAATAAACTCACAACTGTCAACACTTTGCCAAGGTGTGTACATAATGTCTAAACACATGCTTGGCTCTCCCTGCACTCGTGATGTTTGTGTCCCATTTAACCTGCTGAAGATGAGAATTATTGGGTGCCTAATGGGTCTATGGGTCTCGTTTTCTTTCTACCATTGCATTTACAAGCTAGGAGCAGTTATCCTACCACAAGTCATTTTAAAACTCAGTCCTACCTTAGGTATACTACAACCACCCCAGGGTGCGACCAGAAAAAGTCAGCAAACACTCAGGTACCTACTTTCTGCTAGGTGAACAGAGGCAAAAAGGTGAATTTTAACGAGTAATTCATGCACTCCCCGTTAATGCATGTTTCGAAAGTACACACTTAGATGTATTCGTAGACGTAAGTCCTTAAGTTAGCACATCATTATGAGAGTACAGCACTTGAGCAGGTCAGTGACCATCAGACAACATTCACATCTGAAGACTCGCACGGTGCCCAGCACCAAACTTTTTACCATTATCTTCCCCAAACGTCGCTCCATCTCACCACTGAATCACAGTCCGGATAATTATCATGCGACTAGCCAATGATAAACTTTCTAATCATTAGGAATGTCCTGCTAGACGAGTAAAAGTTGAATTCTCACCCACATGGTTAGCCGTAAAGCCTGTGACCAAAATAATCTTGTACAACACTCGTTATTTGGATCGAGGCCAATGTGTGTGTTCCTGGTTTTGTTCACCTGCTCATAATTAAAGACACATTACTGCTAGTTAAAGATCTTTTAATATATATATATATATATATATATATATATATATATATATATATATATATATATATATATATTTATATATATATATATATATATATAATATATATATATATATATATATATATATATATATATATATATATACATATATATATATATATATATATATATATATATATATATATATATATATATATATATATATATATATATATATATATATATATATATATATATATATATACATGTGTGTGTGTGTGTGTATGTACTCACCTAATTGTACTCACCTAATTGTGGTTGCAGGGGTCGAGACTCAGCTCCTGGCCCCGCCTCTTCACTGATCGCTACTGGGTCCTCTCTCTCTCTCTCTTCTTCCTGAGCTTTGTCATACCTCTTCTTAAAACTATGTATGGTTCCTGCCTCCACTACTTCACTTGCTAGGCTATTCCACTTGCTGACAACTCTGTATGTGTGTGTGTGTGTGTGTCTGTGTATGTGTGTGTGTGTGTGTGTATGTGTGTGTGTGTGTGTGTGTGTGTGTGTGTGTGTGTGTGTGTATTCATGTATGTATATGATGTTCTTAATTTTCTCAGAGAGAAGGCCAACGAAGGGTTACTTCATCTCCCTATACCTACTGATGTCTTTCTTGATCTTATCCGCCTTTGTGTGGGCTCAAATTCCTTTTCCTTCCAAGGTAAATATTATTCTCAAACCTTCGGTGTCGCTATTGGCTCTCCTCTGTCTCCAGTTCTTGCTAATCTTTATATGGAATACTTCGAAACTGTTCTTCTTCCTGTTATTGATGTGCGTCCTTCACTCTGGCTCCCTTATGTAGATGACATCTTTGCTCTGGTCCCATGGCTGTACTCTCTACCAATAATTTCTTGATGCCCTTAACAATCTTGCTCCTTCCATCAAATTTAAACCTGAATGGGAATCTAATTCTTTGCTTCCTTTCCTCCCTGTACATGTCCACCGCTAGGATACAAGTTTTGTTTTTTCCGTGTACATTCACTGCTTTTCCTATCAAGCTTTCTTTGTGAAGAAAAGTGTTCTTATTACTCTCTTTCTCCGTGATCCTCAGTTCCATTTTTCGTAATTCATTCTCCCGTCATGGCTGGGAGATCCACTGTATCTCCACCACTCTACCTTGGTAGGAGATCCACTGTATCTCCACCACTCTTCCTTGGTAGGAGATCCACTGTATCTCCACCACTCTACCTTGGTAGGAGATCCACTGTATCTCCACCACTCTACCTTGGTAGGAGATCCACTGTATCTCCACCACTATACCTTGGTGGGAGACAGACTGGCTCTCCACCACTCTACCTTGGTAGGAGATCCACTGTATTTCCACCACTCTACCTTGGTAGGAGATCCACTGTATCTCCACCACTATACCTTGGTGGGAGACAGACTGGCTCTCCACCACTCTACCTTGGTAGGAGATCCACTGTATCTCCACCACTCTACCTTGGTAGGAGATCCACTGTATCTCCACCACTATACCTTGGTGGGAGACAGACTGGCTCTCCACCACTCTACCTTGGTAGGAGATCCACTGTATCTCCACCACTCTACCTTGGTAGGAGATCCACTGTATCTCCACCACTCTTCCTTGGTAGGAGATCCACTGTATCTCCACCTCTATACCTTGGTGGGAGACAGACTGGTTCTCAACCACTCTACCTTGGTGGAAGACAGACTGACTTCACCACTGTACCTTGGTGGCAGACAGACTGTATCTCCGCCACTCTACCTTGGTGGGAAACAGACTGTATCCCCGCCACTCTACCTTGGTGGCAGACAGACTGTATCTCCACCACTCTACCTTGGTGGGAGACAGTCTATGAGGTAAACAGCACTGTCACATTAATTCTGTCTCCCGTTGTCTGAATTCAAGATTCTCCAATGCGTAATAATTTATTCTTGAGTTTAGCATTTTAACAATTATATATGTTAACTATTGTTATTCATTTTGAACAACACAGAAGCAGGTAGTTACCGAGCATTCTGAGTAACAAGATTCATTTCCATAAACTTTGAATTTATATACGAAGGCATTTTGTAGGTTAGCAGTTTTGCATGTTTAAGGGCTAGATCCCTGAGGTGTTCGTACTAGACAGGTGTAGTAAGTGCTGGCGATATAACTGATGACAGGTGTTGTGGTGTACTCGACACCTGCCTTGATGCCTCTATTACGCAATCTGTCTCATCCGCTTCGACTCGCTGTGTTGAGTGCAAACATATATTGCACTCGTCAGGGAATAAAAAAAAAATTCCAGTTGGGCCACTGGCAGCAGGAAGCAGCCACTGGTGTGTGTTAACACACGCTATGTTTACTAACAGATGGGGATGTGGTAGGTGTTGGTTCTATTGCAGCTGACGGCTATATAACGTGTGTTTAATAAGCGTAATGATAAGAGTGGTGCTGGTGCTCTCAGGTCAGACGCACCCAGCACTCTGGCACTCCTCCAGCATCTAAATTCACTTTCTTTGTCCACTGCTATCATGACTGCCAATTTTCATCCAGCTCCTTAGGGTTCAACAGATGCGATGCATTTCTGCTTTTTCATGCAAAGGTTTGTATCTCCAGGGCATCGCCAAGATAACATAGAGGGATATCTACAGCTCTAAACGACGTCAATTTAAGGAAGATGGCACTGAACACATCAGTAAATCTGAAATTTGTTAGCCAGCAACATAAATTACATTCTTGCGGCGACATTCAGGGAATAACATAAATTACTCAGCTTATATCCCGTCGCGGACATCTTTACCTGAGAGAAGCAAGTCATGAACTCGTGGCATAAATAGATGGTCCGAATTAGGCGACGTCTTGTCGTGTCACCTGCCTGACAGAGGGTCCTCCAGAGAGGTGAAATAATCGTGTTCTGTTTCCGGCGGTACATTGAAGAATGTAGCGGCTGTGATGTTTTGACACATATATATGTGTGTTTACTCTCTTATCAGTATTCACAAATAAAAATTCAAGATCACTTAAATAATAATAATAATAATAATAATAATAATAATAATAATAATAATAATAATAATAATAAAATAATAAAAATAATAAAATAATAATAATAAATAAATTATTATTAATTAATTTTATTAATATTATTTTTCTATATTTCTATAAGTACATGTACAAGGTATACAGACCATAGCTGACATCAATAACATACTACTATATAGAAAGTCGCTTGTTATGTAGAGCATTTCGGGCAAATTAGGTAAATTTTGTCCCAGGATGCGACCCACACCAGTCCACTAACACCCAGGTACCTAGTTTACTGATGGGGGAAGATGGACACTGTCTTATCGAAACACGTTCCAATGTTTCTA